CCCCAAAACCCCAAAACCCCAAAACCCCATGAAGTTCTATCTAATTATGATGGGCAACTAGAAAATAAAATTAAAAATCGAATAAAATTTGTATTAAATCATCATCATCATTAATATTTCACAAACAATCAATAATGGATAAATAAGCTTCAAACATAAGTATTCAGTCAATTGACTCAAGTTAAATTTATAAGTCCCCATTGAAGATGTGAAACATTGACTCATTGAAACAAAGAGAAGAGCTAACAGAGGCAGTAATGAACGGAAAGATACCCGTGTTTGGCTACCCAATGATAAATTTTAGCCCGAAGTAAAATCATTAGTAGTTTTGGAAAATAATAGGCTCATCAATCACAAAGAAGGAGTAAAGACAGTTTCAAATTAATGATATGGTCAATTAGTTCAGAGCAGCTTAAGACTCAGAGAGTAAATTGTAAGTATAATACTACAAATTAGCTTAATTTGATTAGATATCGAGATTTCGCTAAAGGGAGAGATTTATCTTAAAGGCAAATTAAAAGTGCTTACATTGAAGAAGACTTCAAGTAAGAGGATAGATCTAGCTCACAGAAAAAGCAAAGAAAAAAGCAGAAGTTAACCAATGCTCATCAAAGATATCACAGCTCTAATTATGTCAGCAACTATAATCAAAACTTAGGGCAAAAAATTGAAAAAGACGATTCAGACGAAGATTTCAGTAATAACTTCCTTCAAGCTGGTCACGCCAGATAAATTGGACGCAAAAATACTTCTGATGTTAGACAATAATTTGACTCCTTCATAAATGAAAAAAATAAACAGAAAAAATAGGAATTGCCGATTAGAGTAAATAAGACTTAAAAGCTAAGGCTAAAACTTAGTGAAGTCAAATCAAAGTTAAAACTGCAGGAAGAAAGCAAAAACAGATAATAGTCATTACTTCTTAGAAAAATGAGTACAAAAGCATCAACTTAAATGGGGCATTCACATCAAAACTACGCTGTAAATATAAATACAAACAATGACATTAATTATGTTATGATCGGGTCATAGATATCTGAAGTTAATTAGGATGAATTGAGGGAAGAAGTAAATTAAACTGAAACTACTTAAACAGGAAGAGTTCAAAATGAGTATGAGGATTACTAAATTTCATAGAGCCGCTAGCTTAAATTTAGTCCAAAGATATACCACTCTCATAAAAATTCATTCAATGATAAAAGAAAATAAAAAATCCAATATTCTTAGCAGCATTCAATGATAATGCCTGACTCTGAAAATCTAGAAATGCCTCAGTTAACTAATAAGATGTAGAGTCAAGTCACTTAAGAATCAATAGGGATTCTTGAAGTAGATCATAAAATTTAGTTTTAAACCCAAAACAACCAAATTCAAAGCAGAGCCTACTCGAATATAACAATTGATAAGCCAAGAACTCATAAATGCACCGTTAAAAGTGATTATATCAATCAGAGATACTCATCTCTGAGTAAATTATAAAATAATCATAGTACAAATCACAAAGGTGTTGTCTTGAATGAATTGCATAGAAAAATTAAAGAAAGAGAACAAAGTGTCATTGAGCTGGCAAACAGCAGTTTCTATCAAAATATAAGCTAAGAAAATATAAGTTTGCCTAAAGTTAAAAATAGTAAAGGAATAGTATCTTCAATTAGACTGAATAAGTAACTTAAACAAAAGAATACAAAGAAAATTTTGGATTATTTAATTTATTAATGTAAGAGAGAAATTACAGACCTTAGTTTCTAGGTTGTAAAGAGGTAAGGTAAGAAAAAGCAGTGATTATAAAATTGTATTTTAAGTTAATTTATTCAAACCTAGAAGCTTTTTATAATTGTGGGGTTTTGGGGTTTTGGGGTTTTGGGG